CAGCTTCTCGGACCTGAACCGCCTGTGCAAGCGGCTCCGCGACGCCTTCCCCGAGGACCGGCCGGAGCTGGCGCGCGCGCCGCTGCGACAAGGTGGGGGGGGGGGACGGTGCCCCGTGGCTTTTAAGTGCCTTGGAGTAGACGGAAAAAATTCACGGAGACTAAGTCTTGTCGCTCCGGCTCCGCACGGGACACTTAGACCAGGCGTCCCCCAAAGAGCGGGGCGGTGGTGTTAACCGGACGGGAGGCTCCGATCCACTCACGGGTGGCGAAGGAGGACGCCCCCATCGTCGCCAAGGGACACTTGGGGGCCGTTCCGTACTCAGCCCAGTCCCGGGTCTGGAGCGCCGGCTGCACCCCACCCTCCGCAGCCCCCCTCGGAGGACCAGTTTGCGGCCGGAGGGGGCTTGGGGAACGTTTGGCAAGAGTTCCCGAGGGTCGGAATTGGGGTTGCGTGGGTTATGGCGACTGTCCCTGAGCCCTCCGCCCGGGAGGGGCCCCGCGACGGCTGACCAGGCTGGGTGCCACGCAGCGGCGCTTCCGCCCCTCCCCCGAGGGGGCCGCCCCGCCCGCGGCTGCGGCGGACAACCCGGGCTCCCCACCCCTGAGATGGGCCGCATTTGGGTTTGATTAGCTGCGGCCACCTCCTCCCTGCCCTGGTGACTGCTCCTGGTTGGCGGAGACATGTTTTCAGAAACTGTGGCGCCTTCCCCATTTCCACACTGCCCGGGAGGGGGCAGGAAGAGGGGAAGAAGTAAGCGGGATTGGAGTTGAGACGGGGTGGGGGGGGGGGGGGACAGCGGGGGCTGGGAGGGCTCCCTCCTCTCTCCTACCCCAGGTGACTGTGGATCAGTACTAGGGTGGAAGGCTGCCTGCTTCTCTGTTCTTGGTCAGCTTTCCCCCTGGCGGTAGGCCTCGCCCCTCGGACGAATTACGTGGATGGATAATTAGCTCGGTTCTCATGACACATCCTGTGGCCCAGGCATCTTTTGGGAAGGTTCCCGAGCCGGCGGGTGTGAGGGCCTGAGGGTCTGCCTCCCAGGGTCTCCGGTGGTAGCTGTTCTCCAAGTACTCATCAAGGATCGCTTCCAGCGCCAGTGCTCTCCGGATTTGCTGTTTGAATGCCCAAATCAGGAAAGCATTAGTTAGGGAGGGACAGTGTATTCAGCGGTCTTTTCTTCGTGAAGCGAGTTATGAACTGACTGGACTTCTGAGCGGCACTCCGGCCAGGTGTCCCAGGTCAGCTGTGACCTCAAGCACACATTTTGGAATCTGGCTCTTCCCCTCGGATACGAGTTCCTGTTACTTGTGTTTTTGTGGGAGAGGGCAAAGCCATTTGTTCATCCTGTCAGCATCAGCTGCTTCCAGGCAGGGCTCTGGTCCAGGTGTGGTCTCAGAGGGGAGGGGAGGACTTTGCCATGTACACCAGGCTCTCTCTTCTGCACTCATGCACATTGGGCTGGGGTCAGTTCTGGGATGGGGGGGGGTCCATGGACACGAGTCTCCAAAGAGTAAAAATGTATAGGAAGAAAATATTGAGTGGGTGACTAGTATAGAGAAAAAGAAGGGGTATAATGAGAGTTGCCTTCAAATCCCTAGAGGAGAACACAAATGAGATGGAGTAGACATGATGGTGGGCTGTCCAGGGTGGATAGGGTGAGGACCCGCGGCTTATAAGACTTTCTGACAGCCTGTTATGCACCTGTTAGAACCATTGTGTTGGGTGCTGGTGAGTCCTGTCTGGTGGAGGCCTCTTGAAAGTCTGGTCTAGCTTCCCATGGAGGGGATCAAGAGGGACTGGGGAGACCAGAGGGAGACCCCAAGCTCTGTCTCCATGCTGGATCTTAGGTTTCTGCTTACAGGTGGGCCCACTCTTCATAGAACCAGCTAAGCTTTGTTGCATAATGCCGGTGAAGTCATTCTTTCACTGATCCCCCCCACACACACACTTTATTTTTGGGCTGATACTGGGGCTTGAACTCTCAATTGACTTTTTCACTTAAAGCTGGTGCTCTACCATTTGAGTCATAACTCTACGATTAGCTTTTTGCTAGTTAATTGGAGGTAAGAGTCTCAGATTGTCTACTTGGGCTGGCTTCAGACTGAGATACTCATCTCACCCTTCTAAGTAGCTAGGATTATAGATATGAGCTATCGTTGCCTGGAAACTCTGATTCTTCTAATTTAGAAAAATTATTGGCTACAGAAAATATCTCATGGTAATACAAAAGCAGATGCTACTTTATTTCCATGCAGATATATTATTTGCATAAAAAGATCATCTGAATTTGCAAAATATAAACACAAAAAGCAACCAGATGTTGTGTTGTCTTGACAGCACCAGTTTCTCTCAATTCAGATTTCCCATGTGTACTTACTGAAATTTCTGAGCTGACTTCAATTTGTGCTCTCTGGTTTCATTAAAAAGTGTCATGAGGAAATCAGTGTCTGACTAGGTCCAAAGTTTCTGCTAATGTCAGATTGGTACTCTTGTTAGGTCCTGGTTGTGCATCATGCCTGCTAGCCTAGGCCCAACTTTACATTTCTGAATCAGCATGCCACAAAAGCCATGCTGAACCCTTTTGTCTTGGTCCTTCAAGTACTGCCATGGGAGAAATGCTTATTATTGGCATAGATCTAGTCTTTTCTGTCTCTGCACACACACTGTAGTGTTATGCTTGGTGACTGTCCATGGGCTTCATATATGTCCTGGTGACATATAGCAAGAGTATTTAAATTGAAGGCAAGTCTACAGGCATTGCAGCTTACCTTCCTACCCATTCTGCTTGGCAGGGCAAAGCTGGGGGCAAAACTGGCCACAGGACTTGTATTGCATCTGTCCTGTATCTTTTTTTCTTGGAAACTTGGTCTCCTCAGACCTTAACCTGGCATCAGGCCTGGTAGCATTTTGCCTGGATCTATCTCATAGGCTCACCTCTTTCTTTCTTGTCCTTAACTCTAGGGTATGGAGCTGATTGTTTCCTGGGAAAATTATCCCTAGCTTGCTAAGGTATTTCCCCTCTTGCTTTTCTGTACTCTTAATGCAGTCCCTTGTACTCAATACCTAATGAAGCTCAGGGTTTCCTGCCCAGACAATGGCTGAGGTCTCTTATTTACACCTCTTCCAGCTAGGAAAGCTTTGAGCTTTAAGGCTCAAACAGGATGCAGAATTTGTCTATTGACCCAATCTTTTTTCCCCCCAGTATCACCTGTTTGAGATCTGTGACGTCTGAGCTGGCCTGGTCACCCTGCTGCCACAGATCTTATTTCTAAGTTGTCAGGTGATCTTTGATTCTTGGCAACTGTACAGTCAGTATCTTGGTTTTGCTTTCACTCGGCCTGTCACATATCTGCTCCATGCCTGTCATGTGCCCAAGGCATGTTGGCAGATGCTGGGGACAATGAAGTGAACAGACTGAAAAAAACTATATTCTGGTTAGAAGAGATACAAAAATAAAAAGGTAAACCATGATATAAATATACTAGTGATAAACATTCAGAAGAAAAATATGTAAGTAAACCAAGAAAAAGGACTGTGATACTAGGTATCGGGGAAGAGTTTAGCTTTTAAACAGGACAGTCAGAGATGATCTCACTGACAAATGACTTGAGTGGATACTTGAGGGAAAGAAGGGAGCAAGAAGTTGATACCTGTGGAACAGCATCTAGCCAGTGCAAAGGCCCTGAGGCTGATGTGTTGCACTGGGTTTGTGTAGTGAAGAGGCCACTGGCTGGAGTGGAGAGGATAGGTCAGGCAGGTGCACCCTAGGCTCCTATTCCAAGGCAGCTTTTGTCACAAAAAGCTCTGAGCAAGGATTGATCACATCCAAGTTGAACTTCTCTCCATTACTAAGAAAGATCAAAACAGAAAAAGAGGGGTTAGAGTAACAACAGGTGAGAGGGACAGACATTGGTTGGTGTGGAAGGGAGAGGACTGGAAAACACTGATGGACTAGAGGGCAGGTGTGGGGGAGAGGTTCAGGATGACCCCAAGATACGGGATTGCCACACCTTAAAATAGGACAGCTTCAGGAGGAGTTGTGTGGGAATAAGGTGGCTCTGGAGCTTGACTTAGAGTGTTTTTCTCCAAGTTAGGTCTGTGATGTGAACCGCCTAAGATGTGAGCCTGCATGTGGTGCTCACATACCTGGCTGCTCACCTTAATCACTGTGACTGTCATCCAGCTGTGCCAATAGTTGTCTCTTGAACTGGAGATGCCTGTGATGGAGAAGCAAGTGGGTATAAGGAGGGGTAATGTGCCCACCACGTTACCAGCTGTAGGCAAACTAGGGGTCTGATCCCAAGGCCTGTCCCCATCCATACTACCTTCACATGAAATCTCAGGGCAGCCTGCTCCTCATCTTCCTTCTGCTCTGGTTCAGCTCTGATTTCCTGATCCCTATTCTCTCTCCACAAATGCTCTTTTGGATGTATTTGGTTTCTGATTCCCTGATTTCATGCAGACAGATGTTAGTATTATATTATCCTAGACCCCTCACCCCCTAGTGACACCCAAGTTCCTGCAGACTTGCAGAAAGAGCCAGATAGAAACTTACATAGATGCTTTAGCAGCTTGCTTCTAGGTCAAGGTGATTCCCATCAAATTTCAAAGGAGAAAAAACTTGTTTCTTCCTCTCTTGGATAACCTTGGGCTGTCCCCTAGAGATATGGATAAACTTTTCTCTTAGCAACAGGTTTGGGCTGATATTTTGCTACCATCTGGTTTGGCAAACACTGTACCAGAGGCAAAAGAGGTTTCTGCATTATGACCAGCTAACATAAGAGCAAGTGTTTGTGATGTATACTTGTGATCTCAACTACAAGAGACTCTATCTGAAAAATAACTAAAGCTGGGGGG